TTTTTTTTTTTTTTTTTTTTTTTCCCCTTTCCAGGGAGGCAGGTCCGTGCCAAGCGGATGGTGGAGGCAGCCAATCCTGCAGAGTATGAATATTTGGAGGGCAACATTCCGATAGAGTGGGAAGGTACGTTTGGGCTCCAGAATCTGTGCCGCATATTGTACTTATCACTAATTTTAAACAAAAAAAAAAAAAAAAGCTAAAATAAAAGAGAATGACAGATCCATGGCTTCATCTTCTGGGACCTTGGCTAATCCAATGATTTAGTTTTCTCTCTCCCTCTCCTTTCATTTTGTAAGATGGAATGGGGGCTGGGAATGAGTTTATCAAAGATGCCTTCTGCCGGCGTTATACAACAGTACCATAAAAAAGTGTTTCTTACAACTGGATACAAACTGTTCCCTGTGTCTCAGACTGGCTTTATCCACCTTAAACCCGCTCATCCTGCCTCGCCCCATCCCTCATGCATTTTCATCAGGATGCAAATAAGAAACGGATAAAAGAGGCACAGAATCCCCATGCTAGCTGGAGCAAGAGTTGCAAAATCTCTCCCCCTCTCTCTCTTTCTGGCTCCCTTTAACTTGCTCTGCTGTGCAGCCAGCTCAGCCAGAATAGAGCTTCCTCAACAGAGGGAGGGAAAAGAGATGTGATGGAGAGAGTTCTGCTGAGGAGCGGAGGGAGGGATGGAGGTGTGTATGAGGAGTGACGGAGCATGTGCTTTAAAATCTGAAGATCAAGGACGATGGACGTGTCTCGCTGACCCGGTTCTGCCAACACAAAATCCGAACTGATGTTTTGTACTTATCATGAACTATATGCTTCTTTAAAAAGTTGAATAATTTTCCACATTACACCACATCTACAAATTTTCATGTTTTTGGTTGGGATTTTTTTGTGGCTGACAAACATGAATTAATGTTTTGTTGTTGTTTTAATTACATCTGGACAGTGTGGTATGTATTTGCGTTCACTTCCCTTTGACTCTGACGCAGCTGAATAAAAAAAAAGAGTTTAAACAACTGCATTCAAAAATCAATTTCATAATACATAAAGACCATTTGTGAATAATTTCAGTGGAAATCCATTTGTTCTGTGGAGGCTTCGTAAGAATGTTGGTGAACAAACAGCAATGTGGAGAAACAGGAGCAGACTGGTCAGGGAGGAAGCTCTGGTGACGTCTAAGGCAGGAATACGTTATAAATGTTCATCTTTGAACTTGTTTCATGGGTTTGATCGATTTATCATCCAACAGAATACAACTTTAAACCTAACAAGACATGGCCGCCCTAAACTAGCCGGCTAGGACGGGAGAGCATTATGCAAATGACGACAAAAGATGATTCTCCAAAGCGTTGATTCAAAGAAGGCTGAATGCAAATGCACAACACACTTCAGATTTTTATTTGTACAAATTTAAGCTCATAAATTCCCCCTCCACTTCACAATTATGAGCCACTTTGTGTTGGAACGTCTCATCTAGTCCCAATGAAACGCAGGCATGTGTTGTGCACTAAATGTGGGGGGGAAAAAATAAAATAAAATATATATATATATATGTATATGTATATCATTCAAGCGATAAGAAGAATCCTGTTGCAAGGCACAGTAGTTCTGGACGCTTCCGGTTTACAAAGTCACATAAAACGAGACCAAGTGAATCAAAAGCTGCGTATCAGTCCCCAGCAAACATGGAGGCTTCCTCAGTAATGCCGGAGCTGCAGCCTTTAAATATGACTGCAGGTTTTGTTTGTGCGGCGTATGTTCGTGTGGGTGTTCTCACTCTCATGTTTTTTTTTTCTTCTTCTTCTTCCTCCTCTCTTCTCTCCTTGCAGCTTGGATCCGAGGCAGACGGAAGGAGCCTCCCTCCATCGAGGTACGCTCTCCCCTCTCCTCCCGCCCTGCAGTTCCCCCGCTGTGCTGATGGTTGGACTCTGGGGGACTAGTTCCAAGGGAACGAAAGAAGCAAAGCTGGAAAGAAGAAGCTTTGATTTGTTTTATCGTACTGAATCCAGGAACTTTAGGGGACAGGTGTTAAAATAAACAGCAGCTGAAGTGCCTTGATGGTGAGACTGAGAGCAGAAACAGCCTCCGAACAAGGAGGCTCACTGACACCGTGTCCCAGTTTACGTTCTCTTTTTCCAACAGAAGCCTCCATCTCGGCTTTTAGTTTTTTATTTCTGGCACTCTCCGAGACGGGAATGGTGAAAGCGTGCAGTTTTTGTTCCCCCACACACACACACACACACACTCCTGCTCCTCTCTCTGGGTTTATTGCTCTTTAAATGCGAGAATGCTGGAAATTATTTGGCTGGGAAAATGTGGGCCTATAGGAAATCCTTTGGAAGGCCGGTGCTCAGGCACTCTCTCTGTTCCCCCCCGTCCTCTGTCCCTGCCAGTAGCCGGTGCCATCTCCTGCCTTTCTTTTTGCCAGAACATTCTCTTCCAATTTTCTGCCTTACTTCTGCCCAATAGCTGCCATCGACAGCTGGACGGCGGCGATGCAGCCAAGGCTCCAGTCCCAGCACATTACCCTGCCCCTTGTCACGCTCCCTCTTTTCCTGGTCCAAATCGACATAAATTGATTGGATTAAATCCTGTCATTAACAGGCTGGAAAAGCAGCTCAGTATGTTTGTCTCCCTCCCCAAAGCAGGACTTTTTGGCCATAGTTTCCCCCCCGCCCCTTTTTTTTTTTTCCTTCTTTTTTTTCCCAGTCCTTCAGTTTTGCCAGCACACAACAGCATCATGCCCAGTCCTCCCTTCCTCTTTGGTTCCCACAGCCAGGGCAAGGCTAACATCACTGTGAACACTAGATGCAGGGCTCAAGTGGGTAACTATTGCACCAGTGCACTGTTCATTTTATAAGCGTTTCCAGGATTTAAATTGGTTTCCAATGATGCAGTATAAATGCCTCCTGTCCTTTCAGTTTACCAATCTGTTCCAAGTGCTACATTTTTAAGACGCGGTGATTATGTCGCTGCAGGTTAATGGAAAGTTACGCTTCTGGCTCAACAGAAACATCTGTTCATGCAAGGACTGGATTAAAACTTTATTTCTCTTCTGATTTGGACGAGTGCGAATCAGATGCTCCAACAACAAAGAGAGGTCCTTGATTAAGGAGGGAAACTATCATTGCTTTCATTTGAATGTTCCGGCCAGTTATCTTGTGGTCACTATTCTGGTTTTCTGCAGGGTTTTTGTGCTCTCATTTTCTTAGGAGTTTGAAGCTCAGCACTTTAACCAACACATGTATTTGTTTTATGATGAAAATGAACTAAAAGTGTCAAGATACATATACCAGATGTTTAAGGGTTTTTTTTTTTTTTTGCTCAAACTAAGAATGATGATGAGAATTAAATCTAAAAACAAAAATAGTAGGACTTGTTTAGTCATGTTAAAAGAAAATTTCAAGGAGGATTACATTTATTTTATAATATGTTGTTTTTGCATGTAGAGAATCATTTTCTCCAAATCATACAACAAAAAGTTCTAAGAATTTTTTGAAATGTTCAGATTATTAAACTTTAGTTTTGTTCCTAGAATAGAGGTGTAAACATCTTGGATATCCTTGTGTCCTATTTAAAGTAGTAGCGATCTAAATAATTGGGATTGCTTCTGTCTGTCTGAACTGCAGCAACTGCAAACAGTGCTAACCCACAGACTACACAAAAAAAATCTAAGTTACTTTGTAATTTCCTTATTTAATCAGTCTGAATGTATTTATTATGCACCTATGAAACTTGACATTATAACCTGGTGGTTTATATAGGCCCCAGGTTTGCTGCCAAAGCAGCCCAGATTTCTTCAGGTTTGGACTTTACTCTCAATGGATACAAACCGCTGCAGACTGCGAACTCTCCACCCTCCATATCAGCTCACATCCTTCCCATTCCGTTTTACCTTCCAACACAGAAACTTTGAGCACAACATTACTGCCCTATATATTTCATCCACTAACAGGTGTCAAGATGAATTGGTCTAATTCATTTCACACGTCAGTCAGTGTTCATAATGTTTCGCCTGACCTGTCATTATCAGCCGAGACGTCATTACATTCCAGAGACGGTTAAAGTGATTTCACGCTGCTTTTTATTTCTATACGATCTTAGAAGCGTTTAAACGTTCCTGATAGTCCGTGTAAAGAACGTAAACGCATGTGGTTTGTTACTGCAGGAGCTGATGACGAATGAGTCCCAGAGGAACGAGATCAAGCTGAAGGCGATGGAGCTGGAGGAGAAAGATCTGGCACTACAGGCTAAAGAGCACGAGGAAGGCCTGGTGGCGACTCCTGCGAGGACTGTGGCCAAGGGCCACGCGTCCGCCGCCGTCTTTGGCAAGGAGGAGCTCAGTGAGGAGCCAACTAGCACTGCGAACAAGTTCCAGCCCGGTTCCTGGATGCCCACCTCAAAGAAATAGCTGGAGACCTCCACAGAGACTGAGACATGAGACAGTGCAAAGTAAAATACAGTCCACAACGTTAGCAGCGAGGGCTTTGCTTAGGATATCAAATTGAACACTTTAACTAAATATAGAACTGATCTGTTTTTAAGTTTAAAGAAAGCCTGAAATAAATGAGTGTGATTTTTCTTTAAAAGGTCCAACTGGTTGATAGAATCAGTCATTCTGTCAGACTTTATTTACAGAGCACTTTTCTTACACTCAGGTGTAACACAATGATTTATAAATGTTAAAAACGGAAAGAAGGGACAGCGAACCACAACAGACGCAATGAGATTTATCAAAGTGATCAAATCAGGGTAAGTGCAGTTGTATTATATTGGTAAATCTGATTTAAACAAATGGTCTCCATGTTTCTACTACCAAAACGTACAATAATATCTCATTATAATTTCATAAGCAATCCTTTCCTTCATTCCAACAGATTTCTGTCAAAATTCAACAGAGAATCAGATTGGGGGGAAAAAAAATTGCAGTTGGAGATGTATTATTTTATAAATGTTGCCTAAAGATACAAAAATAAAATTTGCCAACTTAAAAATTGACAGATTCACACCTCTGCTGTTTTGGTTTCTAAAGACAAGTGCAAGAAATAATTATTTTTTTTTAAAAAAGGCTTGGATTTTTAAAATAAAATTGTTTTAAACATTGTCTGGTTTCCCCTTTTTTATCATAACTGATAGGCTTCTGTGCTATAAAGACAAAAAGGACAATTAATACAAGAAAATAAAGCAGCTGATGTGCAAAATGAATGTTAAAAAAGCATGAAATGAATAGCTCAATTTGGAACAACTGGAATGTTTTAATAACTGCTTGTATTAAGATATTATGGGTTAAAAAAAAACTTTTAGAATTAAGTAAATTTAACTTTAGCTGAACAACTCGTGAAATATTGCAGTGTTTTTCAGCACTGGTCCTCAAGACAAAGTGCCATGCAGGTTTCAGCAAACCTGATTTTAATTGATAGCTGATTAACAGGTTGTTGCTGAACTGGAACCGTCTGAATGACGCTTTGGAACAACCAGAAGCCATGCGAAAATGTAGAACCGATTCTGTTTTGAAGGCAAAGGGCAGTCATACTAAATATCGTTAGGTTTAGATTTCTCCAGTATTCATTGTTTGAAAGATTTTCATCCATGCATCCGTTACAGCTGCTTGTCCTTAAGCCATCTGGACAGGTTCTTATAAATCTTCTGTTTTAAAATTCCATAGTTTTTCATATTCAATCTTCAACATGTTTTCTGGTTTACTTTTTAGACACAATAGCTGTTGTGATACAAATATTTACCAGTCAGGTTTTATTAACAAAAACAGCAGTACTGAGTCAGCAGTGTGATGAAGGGCGAGTTCACAGGGTTTTTACAACAGGCCAAGTTTAACTCAATTAAAACCCAAGACAATCAGATCAAAATCTTTTCTGCTAATTGCTGTTCCACAAGTCAAACAATAAAAAAACGTAAACTTTCCTTCATATATCAAAACTAAAAAATGCCATCGTTTTCTGTCAAAGACTTCTACAGCTTTTAAGTAAAAACCTTTTTTTAGTTTGATATTCAGATAAAGGTTAAATATATTTATTTTGATGCATAAATGGGGATAATCTGTTAGTTCATTCATTAACCTTTGACACAAAACAGGTTTCTTTTGATATTAACCTTAAAAAATAAGAAAAAAATCCAAATAGTGGTCAGGGCAGTTAAAGCAAAAAAAAAAAAAAAAAAAACTTAAAAAGCCAGGAACAAAATATTATCCGTAATCAAACGCATACAGGAAGCTCCTCTCGGTTTTATCTCCATCTGGATTTATTTAGAAATATTTTTCAAAGTATATCTTCATTCAGATATGTGATGTACAGAATCAAAAGAACCAAGTATTAAAGGCATTTAATTCTATTAACCATGAACATTTTATTGATCAGAAAGTTTGAGTTTTGGTAGCAAGTAACTGACACAAAACATCTTCCAATAATCATCATCATCATTATTAAAATCAGGTTAATTCAGGAGACCAGGGATGTTAATATGGAATGCAACGTTTTAGCAGCTGCACAAATAAAACCAGAGATCTCTGTAGAAAAAGTGAACCAGAGGACCACCGGGCTCCTGCTGACCAGAGTCCCACAGGGACAGCACTGTCCACTGTTAAGTCCAAGTGGCCAGCGTCCTTCCTCTTGGACATGAGGCATAGCAGCCTGGTGTTGACAGCAGGGCTGGGACGAGCTCGCTCGGTTCCTTCACCCCCTCCATTGCGACCCCCCCGTTCCTCCGGCGGCTTCAGTCTTTCTTCCTCTTGGCCTTGTTTATGTTTTCCTGACGCTTCTGTTTTCTCTTTTGTTCGCGGTCACGTGCCTCGATCATCTTGGCCAGTTTCCAGGACAGCAGCGCGCTGGCGATGAACAGAGGGGTCAGAGCCAATATGACGGTGGTGAGGAAACCGTAGGGGTCTTTGGCAGCCCACTCCACAACATACTCTGCCCATGCTCGCACATCAATCATCCTGCTCAGCAACGGCCAGCGTCAAGTCAAACCTGAAACAGAGACGACCGTGAGCAGCTGAGGGCAACGAAGACAGCTTTCCACAACAAACTTTAATATATTTTACTGGGGTTTCATTAATAGACCAATATGAAGTAGCACATCGCTAAGAGGAGTAAAATCAAAAATAAAATAAAAAAAACATTTTAATGTACAAATGACGTTTAAAGAAGAATTAGATTATAAAGCAATATGCACAGAGTTTTAAAAACCTCAGCATGTGGAAGTAGGTGATCTTAGATGACAGCAAATTTAACACCGAAAGCCATTTTCAGATGCATCCCTGTCCCAATCCACTTGAGTCAAATGACTGACTCATTATCAAGCCTCCGTAGCAATCAATTAAGTGCGGGAGCAGCGAAGCATCTAAAAGTTTTCACACAGCAGCTTCCGAGGAGACAGGAGTTGGAAAGCCCTGATTTGTGTGTGAGCATGTCGGTCCAGTCTGACTAAGCTCGGGCTGTTTTGCAAAGAAAAATATGCAAAAAACATCACTCTTTAGATATGCAAAACTGCTAAAAGACATACCTCAAAAGACTTGCAGCTGTTAATTTACAGAGGATGAATACAAATGCAAGCCTCACTTTTCAGACTGTTTTGTTGTAACGTTTGAAAACCATGGAACAAGAGTCTGTATAATGACCAAATGTGCTCAACAAAATAAATGAAAAGCAGTTTATAGATAAGCAGAACCGTGATTTAGTCATTAACAGAAAATCTACCCACAAAGCATGGCTGGCCGTTTCTTGTTGAGATTAACTGCAAATTTAATAGTTTTGGGTCCGAGTGCACAAATGTTTGGTTTCACCTGAGAATCAAGCTGGCAAAGTTACACATTTTGACAACCATTTTAAGTGAATTTAGATTTTAGAAACATCTTTGAGAAAGAAAAAGAAAGAAACGAGGATGAACAGGTTCTTTGTTTTAATCCTCAATGGGAGGCATTTTATCAATATGCTGTAATAAAACGAGCAATAAAGCCTTACTGCTTCCAGACTATGTCTTTACAAAAATTTGAGATGTCAAATTTGAAAGAATGTCAGTTTTTAACCTAGAATTAGACAGACACACTGAGTCAGGTGTACTGCACAACTCACCCTTGGACCCCTAACGACAGGCCCGATTCTACCGTCTGGTTCTGAACAGGATTAAACAGAAAACAGATAGACGTTCATCACACCTGACATTTAGAAAGCAGCTTTGGCAAGTAAGTCAAGGTGCAGTAGTACATTACTAAACTTGGGGTTGAAGAGGAGGCTGACCTTGAATTTGACGGTCAGGTGAGGACGGTTGTGAAGTCCAGTTTTTATCAGTTAAGGAAGTTGGCTAAAATAAAGAAAGCTGTATCTAGGAAGGACTTTGAGACAGTAATCTATGCTTTCATTACTAGGCGACTGGATTACTTTACAGGCACTTTATCTGTGGGTTAGTGATTCCTATATTACCCAGCTACAGCGAGTACAATTTGCTGTGGGATGTTTTTTTTTTACTACTATTATTATTTGGTGGCGCTAATATGAGAATATTCCTCTCATTTTAGCCTCACTCCTACATTTTAAAGTTGTTGTATTTGTTTTTAAAGCTCTCCGTGGTCTTGCCCCTTGCTACCTTTCCCAGCTGCTGAACTATTACACTCCCTCCTGCTCATTCATGCCAGCTGGCCAGCTGCTCCTGAGTCTGCCTGAAACAAGCGGAAGCTAGCGGGGAGCATGATTTTAAACTGTGGAATGACTTAAAACTGCACATCAAACAGGCTATTTCGCCGTTTCTTTTAAAATCACGCCTTGTTCCTATTCTATGTTGTTGTTTTTATTTTATCTTTGTAATGATTATTTTATGTATTCTGTGCCTTACTTTCGTCCCTCTAAAAATGTAAATTAAGTTGGACTGGATAACAACTCAAGCTCAAAGCCATTTTCTTTTACTTCTAGCTGCTTTTATTTACAGCTTATTCAAATAAATATTAAAGAAGAATGCATAGCTAATGGTTTATATTATCATGAAACTACCGTAAAATCGTGAAAAATTCGTGCTACAATGCAAACTCCTGTATTACTAGTCTTCCCAAAGTGAAGTTGAGTAACTTTACTTACTAAACCCGACCGGGGCTTAATATATGTATGCATGACAAAATACTGTGGTTTTTATCCACCAGCTTCCTGCTAATGTTCAGAAAACACATGATGACCATTTGCTAACTAGCATTATCCTACGTGGCTGCTAGCACTTATCAAAAGCAGAACGGTTCTATTACACTGGATTAAATCTCCAACCAACAACCCAAAACCGAAAGAAAATCATCTCTGTTATAAAGACTGACTATGGATTTCATTGATTTGATGAAAAATTATTTATTTGAATTGCGACTACTATCGAAGCTAATAAGGCCAATCTGCAAGGCCCCAGCTTTCGAAAGCAAAATCACTGACTTTCGGCAAAGAAGCATTGCAACATGAGGAAATATTATCTACTTAAGATTTAACAATAGTAATAATGGTTTAAAATCCAATATAAGAAATAAATTAACTCACCAAAGTGCATAAATGTGTGTTCACATCCGCGATAATAACCACCAGCTCCTCCCTGTTTCGCTTAAACCGTTTCAACATTTGAGGCGTTCAATAAATTTCCCTAGAAAGGGGAAAAAGCAACTCGTCTTTACTTTTTTTTTAATTATGAGCGTTTCTTGTATTTTGTTTGATAATGTGCACTTACCTATGTCTTGCATAACTTTATAACATGTATCAAAGAAAATGGTGTGAGCTTTAACAGAGATAGTGCGGCAGTGTCAACATTTTGTGAACTATTTCAATTTTAGGGAATCCGTGCCATGGTATACCAAAGAGGCCGTGAATGCAGCACAAGTTTTCGTTCGTGATAGGATATGACGTATACCGTGGCTGATGGGCAATGTAGTCCTTTAGCTTTGAAAACTAAAAATATTAACAAGTATCCCTAATTGTACATTTTTTCAGCTTTTTAGCCTTTCATTATCACTTTCTGTCGAACCAATAGTTTAAATGCCTTGAAATAAAACGTTCATTTATTTCAGAGCTTATCAAGAACAACTTTTATGCCCACTTCCAATGTTAAGTTAGCAATAAACCCAGATGTTTGGTCTAATAAAATAAGCTTTTTCAGAATATGGTAAATGTAAGAATGAGTTGTTGTTGTTGTTGTTGTTGTTTTTGTCGATATAGAATATTAGGAGCTCTGATTTACTAGCAATCACTGGAACACTATCTCACTTCTGAATTTTAGAACCATGGATATGAATAAAGGAAATCAAAAGTGTTATGTTTAATTTCTTTTTTGTTATTTGTGAACTAAAACACAAACTGTGTTGTTTTAGTGAGTCTATATACTTCATTATGTAAACCATAAGTGTGACAAAATAGCTGCAACAAAAGGATGATTACAGCCTAATGGTACAAAAGACTTGAATAACAGACAAGTGAATTTTCCTGCAACATACTGAACAGGATGACATTTATCTGCTGCTGAAACATTGAATAATCTGCGAAACAGTTTTGACAAAGTTGAAAAAAGCAAATTATATAGCAACAACTGTAAGGGGAAAAAAACATAAGGCTCCAGTGGCCCTCTGAGAAAAATTACTAACATAACAAAGGAGGACCTGCTGGCTTTGTGAACTTCCTGTGGGGAAGTATTGAAACCAAATCAGGTTAGGCCACATCTGCTCTGTCCATACGGCATGGATCTCTTTCAGAGCAGTTCAAAGGCCAGCCTTTTTAGACTTACTCACAGAGGATGGAGAGGGGCAGCTGAGAACACATGCAGCAGATAGAGGCTCTGCATGCACACATCCTGGTTTACCAGCATAGTTTTGGCCAAGTTTATAGACAATTTAGAAAAACATCCCCAAGGTGGTTACTTTTTATTTTTTTAAAGTTGCATTCCTTTTAGATTCACATGTCTAACCACACAGTAAGACCCAGAAAGTAAGCAATGCAAAGCCGCACCTCCCTAGCTGCTGGTGAGTGTTTTGTTGAAACAAAAGTGAGGCTCTTTACACTATGAACATCATTTTAATAATTAAAATTAATTGATCATGTTTGGATTACTTTATCTAATGTATGGGTAAGTGGAAATGCTGCACTATGAATTGCAAAACATAATGCATTTAAACTGCCTTGCAAAGAGTACTAAAACCCCTGAAACCGTTTTATTTGCAGAAATCATTGTTATTGTACAATGTTCTTGTTAAATAAGCACATAAATTGAATAACTAAAATTGACTAACATAAAGTAGTATTTGATTCAGAAGTTAAAGAAAAACAGTTTGTGATTTATTATGTTTTTCATGAATAGAAACCTGAAAGATGTGGTTCACATTTGTGTTTTGCCCTTCTTTGTCAAGACTTTGAAGACCACCTTTCATGGCAATTGCAACTACAGATCTTCATCTAGAAACTCCTATCTTCATCTTTTGCATATTACACATGGATCACTCAGATTGGATGGAGAGATTATTTGAACTTAAATTTCTTCCTACAAAAGAATCACAGTTGGATTCAGGCCTGAATTTCTCCATTCTGAAGAATGAATGTCTTGATCTGAATCTTTCCTTTGTAGTTCTGGCTAAAGGGTTGCTGCTGACCTGTAAAGCGAACTTGTGTGAATGCAACTTCTTTTGGGACAATGGCTGTCTTTTCCTATCTCTTCCATAATATGCAGATTTTTGCAAAAAATAATGATGAAGCTATCAACATATTGTCTCTCCTGAACTTGCAAAGTTACTATGAGTCTCGTGGTTGTTCTGATAAATACAGCTCCTGCTTGCCTTGTCAGTTCAGTTGAATGACTTTGGAATGGAATGGTTTGAAACACTTTCTCCATTTTCAAATAATGGATCGAACTGTGGCCCTGCAACAGACTGGCGACCTGTCCAGGGTGTACCCCGCCTCTCGCCCGGAACGTTAGCTGGAGATAGGCACCAGCAACCCTCCTGACCCCACTGAGGGACAAGGGTGTAAAGAAAATGCATGGATGGATGGATGAAACTGTGTTCTTTGATATGTGTAAAGTGATATTGTTTTATAACCTTTATAGCTTTACTTTAATGTTTTCTAGAGCTTTATTCCTGGCCTGTCCCGTTCCTTCGTTTTAACAATGCTGCTTGTTCACTGATGTTCTCTAGCAAAACTCTAAGGTGTTCATAGAATAGATCTAGCTTTACTTCAGTACCTCTATTTATGAATAAGGTGACTTGTGAAAGTCAGTTGAGAAACTTGATTTTATTTAGGGACATCACCTTTTTCTTTCACATGTATTTAATACTTTGTGCTTATTTATGAAATAATATCCAAACAAAATACACTGAAGATTGTAGTTGAAACAGAAATGTGAAAAAAAAGTAAGGTCTGTGAATATTCATATATATGCACCGACCTTTAAAACCGTCAGTGTGCAACCCATTTTGGTTTCTGAAGACAGAATGGTGACTCCCTTCAAAACACACATGTTCTCACATGGTGAGTAGCTGCGGAACTCGTCCTCTTATTTAAGTCACTGTTTTAAAGCAAACAGTCACAATATGAATCTATCTCTTTCTTGGTTTCTTGGCATTAACTTTTCAACTTTAACTTTTTTGCAAATGGAAATAACAGTGTACCAAACAGCTGACCTATATGTGAGTGATGTGACCAAAGTGGACAGGCATGTCCGCTTCATATCATAATGTTCCTCCTCCTCTTCCTCCTCCTACGGCCCTTCTATCTCTGACAGCTGAAAGTCCTTTTAAACCTAAGCTACAGAATCAACCATCAGTTAATGAAGAAACTGGAGCTCTGGGTGATAGCTTATCCTCCAAAGATGGGGTAAAGAAAGTCAGTTTTCTTGGCCCCTTTTACCCCTGTGGGAAACTTCGAGGCCGCCCCTGGATTAAGTCCCCGCCTTTAAACTCAAATAAAAAGGAAACTTCAAAGGCCGTCGGCCGCCGGGGCTCCGCCCTCGCGCTCCCGGACGGCTTCACAAAGGATTTGCCGACGTTCGGGAATTCCGCCTCCAGTTCCTTTTATAGCGCCACTCGTGCGCTGGCTGCCTTCCAGGGCCCCGCCTATCCTCGTTACTTTGACAACACAAAGGACTTCACGGAACTCACAAGCTCCGCCCACCTCTCCAAATAAGGGCAGCCTCTCCATGTACGGCAAACAATCGGTTCGAGATTGCCCTTTTCTCTTCCTTATCCCGTTTATATGATCGGAGAGGAACTGCGCTTCAGGTTGGAAGCGGTGCGATCATGGCCGAGCGAGTCCAGCAGCCCCCAGCCAAGCGGCTCTGCTGCCGGCCCGGCTACAACCCGGCATGCAGGCAGGGGCAGCGGGCTGGAGGAGTCCCGTGCGGCGGCGCGGGGTCCGCTCCGGGAGGGTCCGGGAACGGGAAAACGCACAACCCCGAGTCGCTGCTCGACATCGCGGCGCGCAGAGTCGCGGAAAAGTGGCCGTTCCAGCGGGTGGAGGAGCGGTTCGAGAGGATCCCGGAGCCCGTCCAGCGGAGGATCGTTTACTGGTCATTCCCGAGAAGCGAGAAGGAGATCTGTATGTACTCTTCTTTCAACGCCGGGGGAGAGGAAAGTGGATCTAGCGGGGACAATAATGACGAGACCCAGCTGCCTTTTCTGCGGGGTGTCACTCTGCTGGAGGGTGGCTGGGTGGACAACGTATTGCAAGTCGGTGAGTGGACTAAAGCGTCACAATAATGCAGGAAAAACAGACTGTAAGAAAGAAAACATATCTCACTCGCCCTGTTTGCTTATTCCCGTGGACCTTCCACGGGGTCTTGTGTTTCTTTTCCACAACCGTGCCTATTATAAACAATGCAGGGTATTTCCACACCAGTCTACCCTATAACTGTGTGAGAAAAGCCTATTTTCAGATAAGCCCGTAATTTTAGCCCACTTCTCCTTGTTTCTAACCACTGAGCTGTGCGCATTGAATGGCCCCCGAGCAATTCCAATTGGAAGCTCAGGACTTTGTTCCTATTTTTGTGTCTTTCCAGCTCTCCATGCCCCCACCAATGGGTACGCAGACAAAAGCCCCCTATATCTTTTCACCGCTGGCTAAATAGACGATATTTAGAAAGGCTGGGGAGGGACGGCGATTTAAAGCCACAGTGCTTCTATTTTGTTTGCCAAACATCTTTGTGAGACACACTGAAGCTTTTTTTTTTCACCCCCCACCCCCTCCCAGCTTCTCCAACATTTATCTGAAGCCCAAGCTGCATGCACCTACACAGACAACGATTTGTTGTTGTTGTTGTTGTTGTTGTTTTTGTCTTCCAGCTGCATTATTTGTGGTACAGCTAGGAGTAAACAGAGGTGCTCCAGGCTCAGTAAACCCCCTCTGATTCCCTGCCCCTCTTGGCTAGCTGGCTTGTCTTTGCCAGAGCCCGAATATTTCACTAGATTCGTCAGTGCAATAGACTCAGCTGTCAATCTGACTCCCCACCCTTGGAAGCGGTTCAGGATTCTAATCCCATTACCCTCCCCAGTTCATCTGAATCTTAATGCATTCTGTAAACAAGATTTTATGCATGATCTTCCTCCCTCCTTGCCTCCCTCACCATCTCCATCTCTCTCTCTCTCTCTCTCTCCCCTTGTTCCCCCCCTTCCCTTCCTATCTCACTTCTTGGCTTACTATCTCCCCCCTAAAGAATCTGTGGAGATGGCTTCAGCTCTTGTGGGCTCAGAGAATGTGCAGTGCACAATAGTAGCCATGGAGCAGACAGACAGGCAGGCAGCTCTCCCTCCTCTCTCTCCCTCTCTCCCTTTCTCTCGCAGGCCTGTTTACCAGATTCCCCAGCATTAGACTCATTTATGTGCTCACTCTTTTTGGGGCTTGAGGAAACTGAACACTCAGCCCGGGGTGAAATAAAAAAGTATGAGGCATCACTAAGTAGATAAGTGTGTGCGCTTTGGGTTAAGTAGTCAGAAAGAGGGGAACGAGGTCATTTGCAACTAGAGATCCACCGAAGCGTCGTCCAGAGGTTGGAATCAGCCAAGTTTTCCCTGTTTGGCAGGTAAAACGTTGGAGGGGGGGGAAAAAACAACAACAACAATATATTTCTGGTTTCTAATTAATGCATCAAAGCTAAGAATTCCCACCTATTTTTTTTTACTAAAATGAAGCCTAGTAATTTTTTGATACATACACAGAGGGAAAGTTTTCTAATTCCTTCGTTTTCTGTTGGTTTCAGAACTACCACCTCTACACATGACTTCAATCATGTGTTATAGTCTTCAGATAAAGAAGAAACAAATAAAATCGGAATAGATAAGTCAAAGAAATCGCCTGCCTATTGTTTTGTCACTTCTTTAGGATTCCAAATCTAAATGGGGAAAAACTAAAAAAAGAATCTCAACGGCTGGTTTTGGTAATTGTTAGTTAAAAAAGCTTTTATCATTGCATCTCAATGAGTTCTCAGTTTGGACGTATTTTTCTTTCCTTTGACTTTTTTCAATTCAGAGCCAGTCCTGCCACCAGTATTTGTCACAAGAGAGGAAAAAACATTGGCGACACTCAGTTTGATTGTTCAGAGACCGGAATCGGCTTTTTTTCTCCCCATGTTTCAGCTGTAATTGGTGATTGGCAGGTAAAATGCTGAAAAATCCGACTTTTTTTCCCCATGACTTTAACGTCCATCAGAACTAGAAACTCTCACTGTTTTTGGTTTATAAACCCATCAACCCGTAGCATTGGTGTTGACGCCCATTTTTTGAGGTCAATAAAAGCTGATAAAGGTTAGGGAGATGTGTGCTTTAAATCATGAACGATTATATTGTAATTCCTTAATTATCAGTTTGATTCAAAACTACAATTAATAGAAATCTATCAATAATCAGGATCAGCAGGTCAGACCGAAGATAACATTGGTATCGGCCAGGAGGAGCCGGATCGGTGCAACTCTGTTTTCTGTGGCCGTCTGTTTGGTTCTCTCTTTTTATTTTATTTTTATTTTTTATATATTTTTGGTGACTGTGTGTAGGGGGGTTTAAAAAAAAACACAGAAAGAGGTTGCACACACACTCACACACACGCACGTGTTTGTCTTCATCTGTGCGGGCTGTCAGTCTCATCCCGCATGCTCACAGAGTGGAGAATGACAGGCGAGAACACAGCAGGGAGGAGGGCATGTTATGCTGATTGCGATTTTTGCCCCAGAATTTCTTACACTCTCTTTCTCTCTCTCTCTCTCTCTCTCTCTTTTTTTTATTTTACTAGCTGGGGAAAGATAAAGCCAAGGAAGAGCAAATGATAAATAAAAGATGCAATCTACTCCAGGGGACAGGCAGCCACTGGAGGATGAGGGCTTAAAAGCAGGACGAGCTCGGGAGGGTGGGGACTGGGGGCTTGGTGGGGGTGAGGGGTGTGTGTGTGCGTGTGTGGATGTCAGCCACATCACACACCACATGTATTGGCCCCATCAAACACATCCAGTGGGTCTGGCCTGTAAAAGAAGCATGGGCTGATTGCGAGGGTGTGTGCAGGCGAGCGTTGGTGCATGCGTGGCTTTGTGCGGCTCCTTCTGTGTGTTTGTGCTGTCACTGGGATGGGGTTCAGCGCTGATGATGAAAGACAGTAGCGCAATAGAATAGACGAAGAGGTTATTGTGTACGGAGGTGGGAGGGGGGAACTAATATACTTGAATGGATCTGCTGTCGCCGTATTCCTCTCCTTCCTCTCCAGTCTCCTCCTCCTCTGCCTCCCTTTGCTCCCAAGTGAGCAGCTATAAAACTCTCCATATTTACTCCCCTAAGGCCAACTACCAGCCCCCAGTCTCCTGTGATTATTTATCTTTTTTCTCGACGACATTAATCACACGCTTTTTCTTTTTTTTCTTTTTTCTCCCCTTTTCTTTTGCTCCATCTCTTTCCACGCATCAGTGCCGCGAAGAGAAGAGATTGGAGGGGGTAGCTTTTTTTTTTTTTTTTTTTAAGGAGAAGAGCAATAGATCGGGTGATATCAAGAAAAAGAGGGGAAGCCTAGAGGGAAAATGTGGGTGGAAAATGCAAAAGAGGAAAGAGAGGCATTGAAATGGTGATTGCAAGTGAAGGGAATGTATGAAAGTAAAGAATGAGGCTCAGAAATGGGGAGAGAGTGAGACAGATAGCTTGTTCTTTCTCCCATGCGAGCTCATCTGTTCCAATGCCAGCCTTCGGGATAAATATTCATATATGAATGCAAAGTGTTATCTAGCAATCCGCTGCTCCTCGTTTATAACGGGCTCATACAAGCCAGCTCCAGCCCGCACCTCCAACCCACTCCTCCGACTGTCAGATCACCGATGAATTTGTCACCTGCCGAGTGCCGAGTTGTGGAAGCTCAGCCTTAACAAGGCCTGGTTCTAAAACAGATTTAGCTCTTGTTCAAACATTTTGAGCTTAATCTGGAGCCTAAACAGAAAATAATTCCATGTTTATTCCTGTTTTCTTTCCCCTACAAAAATACATTGATCACAGTATTACTAGCATGTTTAATACGTCATTGTGCTTTGACTGTAAAGCACTTTGGTCCACATTTGTTGTTTGTAAATGTACACACATATAATTGACAGCTTGGATCTGAACGCTGGGCTTCCCCAGTTTACTTTTTCTGCTGACCTTTCTCCTGTTCTCCATCCTCACTGAAACTGTATTAATTTGGGCAGATTCTCAATAAAGCTGTTCTCATCCACATATTTTCATCATATAGTTGTCAGAAGGCATATTAAGTCTGAAATTATAGTATACGTTTGGCAGATCAGACTATTTGCAGCCTCCCGTAAAGCACTACAAGGTTGGTGCTCCTCTTAAATAGAGTCCTGATTGCATTTTAACAAGCTGACAAAAATGTTCACAGCAACATCCGTGGTATTCTTTTGGTCCCTACTTACCTGTGCGATTGTCAGAGAGAAAACCCAGAGAAATATGAATGCGTTAAAGTGCAGGTTTGTTCCTGTGCTAGCCTCTGCAAACTTACAGCTTGACTCACTCTCTGTCTCCCTGTCAGCAGCAGGCTCCCACACAGAACAATTACAAATACTGTGCAGACATAACTTGCAGTTTGGATGCTTCGGGCATGAGCCTTCTTTTATAGGGAGAAAGGTATGCATTACACCCGTGATTATCGAACTGTGGTACAAGTCCCTCTGGAGGTACTTGGGTTGTCTTTAGCTATAATCAGAAGAAATTTAGATAAATCAAAGCTAATTAAAAGCCAAAAAGACGAGTTGTGCAGCACATTCACCTTTTCTTCAAAGAGAAGCTGCTCAGAGAGCTGCAGGGGACGATATTTCCCGATCTCTCAGTATAAACTGAAAGGAGATAAAAGTGAACAAGGAGCAAGTGATGGTGACAACTTATTTACCTCACAAATGTCACCCAGCATACCTAGTATGTTCTAGTTGGTATCCACAGCTAAGCTACTTTTAGCAACACTTATTTATACCAATATGTATATGTATGAAGTTCAATAGTATTGGGCATTGATCGTCATCGTGAGAAGTTTAAATAAATGTCTGAAAACCCCCCAAAACTGACAGTGTTGTCGGGATTGTTACTTCTACCATTTCCTCCACTGTTGATTCCACGAGAGAGTAAATAAATATCATTAATTTGAAAAACAAAAAGCTATGATGAAATGCAGTTATTGTATCAAGTTTACTGATTAGGTGAATCGCACTTCTTTGGCTAGTT